ATCTTAAGAATGTACTCTTACATATCGACATAATATATTTAAGCAAATTAATATTTTTAAGCTAAGAGTTTAAATCTGGATTTGGCATATTTGTCTATTAGTAGCTCTAAGGATTCTTTTTTTTTTCTTTTTTTAAAGAAAAAGTGATTTTTATGCGTTATTACATAAGAGCTCATGCCAACATATTTAATTAGTGTCGGAACATTATTAATCGAATATTCGAATCCAAGTCCAAAAAAGAGGGAACCCTTCAATGAATAATCTAAGATCTCACCCCCTCTTTATGTCACCCCTTTTACTGTTCAAAACCAGATAAATTATATATATGCACCCGTGTGTAGACTCAAGTCTTTTATTTATTTTTTTTGGAAAATGCATATGTATAATTAATTAAAATATTGCTAAAACCAAGTTGCAGATAGGCGGTTTAAATAAAGACGTTTTGGTTTTTATGTAATAAAATTTTTGATCAATTAAAATTGTATGTGTCCTCTTTTGTAGATATGTATTATTACTATAATTATGAGATTAATTAAAACGAATAAAATGTTAGTGGGGTGGTTATTTGACATATTGTTCTTGCTGACATAAAAGAAAGCAATTCGTATATCACCATGTTTCTTTTGATTTAAAGTAATCAATTATATAGAGCAGGCCAAAAGGAAAAATGTCATTTATAGAGACCAAAAGAAAGCAAGTAACAATCATATATTACCCACAAGTATTATGGGCGTGAATCACAAGGAAGTACCTTATTAGTAGCATTCAATTTATTGAAGCAAATTTAGAGCTGTTAATTGGCATTTGAAAAAGAAAGATAGAAGAAAGAGAGTTTAATTTTGAACAGGAGAAGAAATGCATCTTACAGAAATTAGAAGTAATCTTGTGCAGAGTATTCCCTGCAAAAATCTAAAACAGAGCATTCTATAAATCACAGAGCATGCCCCAATTGCATTCCATAAAATTATTCATATTTTTGGATCTGTACGCTTTTCTCTATTCATTCAGGAATGAACGGGTGGCCTCATAACATTGTCAATATCTTCCAAAGAATACCAATTTATCTAACTTGGGGAGCCACCTATATAGGCTACAATAATTCTTCAAGGGACCGCCTGGAAACTTAGAAAATTTTTCAGTTTGCGAGAGCAAAAAACTTTGGGCTGCTCCAAAATGAAGGAACTGTGCCATCTTTGTTCAGTGGGATTTGGCTATTTTCTTCTCTCTGCTTTTTGCAGAACCTGTCTTCCACAACCTGATAGAAATTCAAACTTCCTGAGCAAGAAAGCGCCAACAACAAAAAAAGGCCATTGTGCACAATCTCTGCAATGGCAGGTTTTCCGAAGCACATGTTATTTATTGACAAATTGAATAACATCCTCATTTGCATTCTTCAGCCCATGACCACACGCAAAGAATGAGAAAAGCTGATCCCAGGGCCTTCCGCCAGTGTCATTATCAATAAATTGAAGGCAGCCAAGTTGAAGACACAGAAAGGAGGTGTGCAAAAGAGGAGAAGACAGGAAGTATGAACATACATATTCCAAAATCCAGTCTATCCATATTCCATCCAAAGACACAGAAGCTGAAAAAAAGAGAAAGATATGTTAATTCAATGTCGTCCCAGATGTCAAATAAACCCCTCAACAATCTGTGCATGTTTCTTAATGCAAAAGATAACCTTTTTCTATTGACTTCCTATTGCAGTGCAGCTGATGGTTAGTGCCATCATCAAGAATTTGATCCTCTGCTTCAACATCAGCTTCCCCGTCATACTCTCTTCTCGACAATGGCCTAATAAACATCTATATGAACTTCTGTTACAAACAGGAGAAGCTTTCTAGAACTTTAATAGCTTTTAAAGTTGTAAATCATATGCTGTTGTCTGCAAATTAATATAGACAACATTTTATCACAAATTTCTACTAGATAAAATAAAAAATAGAGCACCCCATGCCATCAACACGAAATTCCAGTATCTAAAGGATTTCAATTGTTGGAGCTATAGCATGAAAGCTGCAAATGCAATGAAATGAGAGTTGCAAAATGATGCTGCAACATGACAGCACAGTAGCAGCACAGTGACGGCAGCATGGAGCTACACATGAGCTGCAAGAAATTGCTGCGAACTTCTACATTTTAGTCAATGTTTTAGGTAGCCAAAAATTATTGTATTAGGTAGCAAAAAACTCTTGTTTTATGTGTAGCTTGTTTTATGTGTAGCCTTTCTCTATCAAAATGAATGAAGAAATTGAATGAAAATTGAGTATGAGAGAAAGCAAGGTTTCTCCTCTCTCGGTTGGGCAAATGTCTACACCCTTCCATGTTTATCTTTTATGTCACGTTCATGTTCTAAGTTCTCTCTTACCTCCTCTCCTAGTCTAGTCTCTCCTCTCTCTCCCCTAAAAGAAACTTTAACATCAACCCATTACATCAAATGAAGTATAGCTAAAGAAGAACCACTTCCAAAATAACTATGAAAGATATGCAGTAATTATTGCTTTCTTGTTTAAGATGATACCTGAATGTAATCAAGAACTGATCTAGCAGAAATGCAGAATTCAGAGAAATTCCATGATCCGCTGATGGAGCTCCACAAAGTATACCAATTCTCAGAACACGACTCTTCTCTTCCAGAGACGAACCACAACCGACCTGACTCCGATTAAACCTCACCTTTTCCGATAACTTGTTTGCAACAGAGGCGTAATTCCCACCGCCTCCGTCGCCACCGAACAGACAAAGACAGGAGCCGAAAGCGAGAGACGCCATGAAAGGAGGTTTTCTGCGGGTTGCTACGACAATCAGAAACAGAACCGAGTTTACGAACTTTTTGGAGTTAATTTCCATTTTTCAAATTAAGTTAGGCCCAAAAGATCGAGTTTGAGGTTTTGAGCCTGGGACTAAAGTCGCCAAATTGAAATCCGGCTCAAAACGATATGGGCCATGAGAATGCGGTCCAAAGTCCAAACATGTATAAAATGTACATAGACTTGGGTCCAAGAATCAAAATGCACGAGCACGACTAATTTTTTTGCACAAAGAAGGATAGTGGAGTACACGAGCGCGACTTTTTTTTTATTTGATTTGCATTGCACGATGATGAAGGATAACTCTTTTTTATTTTTTAATTTTAAATTTATTTATACATTATGTAATTTAAATTTAAATTTATTTAAGTAGGTAATGTTTATTTGGATAAAAGTTTTTTTTTAAAAAAAAAAAAAAAAGAGGGAAGGAGGGAAAAGGGAAGGGTGGAGAAGTGGAATACATGGAATCTACTCATCTTGGATGGATGAAAATTAATGTAAAACAATATATTATGAATGGGTTAAACTTGTCACTTTTAAAAGTAAAATCTTACTTAATATTTATGAATGAAGTGATTTACAAGTAACTTAATAATTAGTTAGGTCAAAAACCTAGATATCCTTATTATTCAAATATATATATGTGTGTATAAAGAGATATCATATTATTTTGTGCCTATCTAGAGTTTTAACGTTGGAGACTCCTAGCTCTCCGTACATGCATTATACTAGCTCCAGACATTTCTCTGATCAGCTTCTTGATCGTCTCCGGTTTCTTTCTAGATGTCTCCATCCGACGTGCTTAGAACAAAGAAAGAAATATTTCCAATATACTCTACCCATTTTTCTGACAATGATATGTATATATATAAATATAGGACATTGATTGGTGCACACCCGGGTGTGCACTCTCACATAAAAAAAAAAATTGGACCGGGTGGTGGTTGGTTTTTTTTTTTTTCAATGGAGAGTGTGCACATCCGGGTGTATACACATCATTTTCCATAAATATATCCCCACAAAACCAGCTTAATTCCTTTTGTCCCAATTAAAGGGAAAAGGTAACCTTAGTGGACCACTGAAAACATGTTAACGATAATTTATCCTCACTTGACCTGTACTTCCCCCACCACTGTGTACCTAA